GTGTCCTTCGCTGTCATGGAGACGAGGCTTCATCCCGTGTCTTGTTTTAAAAGAGAATGAATACAGTGTCTGTTACCTGTCTTTATTTGCACAATGAACAACAGTGAATAATTGTGTTGGTGCCTTTGTAATGTTGTAATGACTTACCTTGGCTGGGTGAAGCTCCAGTTTCCTCCTTATTCTCATGCAAGGCACGGTGAGGCCTCAGCATGGAGGAGGTGCTGTTATTGCACCCAAACTCCTCGGAGCACAATAAACACGTCACCTTTGAATCAAATAAGAAACTGAAAAATACAGTTCTTGATAAGCAAACCTAATGTGTCTGAAATAGAGTGAGATTCAGCTCAGCTTATTAGGAGTGATCTAATCACAGAGGAAGTCCTCCTCTTCCTAGCTGGCTCCATCTTATCACCTGTCCTTCTCTCCTCACTCTCAACTATCTCTCTCTAAACTCTCCAAGCGATATAAACTATCCGAACCATCCAAACTCTAACTGACCAACTCTCCACCAACAGCCCACATCTTGAATGGAGCCTGAGGGGTTTATACATGGAAGTAAATCTGAAGCCCTTCCCGAAGCGTCACGTGGTCCCGCCGGGCAGCGAGGCTTCGGACGCCATCATTTATGGCTCCTCCCCTAAATGAAGCGAGCCTCGGTACGCGCCGCGAGGACACGCCCCCTCAGTTACTCGACACGCGCGAGGCGTCGGCACATCTGGTAACGTCACTAATTTTGACTATTAAAGTCTTTTTGTTTTCAAGCTCTGCGTCTGGGTGCTGCCTCTGCCTTCCCCCATCACCAACTGAGTAATATATGAACATATAGAAACAGATAGATTATTAGTGTTAAACATAAATACCACAAACACGTAAACAGAATTACTTGTCAGTTGTAAAAAGGTCACAGCAGCTATATAATAAATAGCTGCTGTGACCTTTGACAGATAATATGAGGACTTTGGAAATGTGAAAAAAGACGTTCATGCCCCAACAAAATGGTCCATGTTGAATTTTGTGGCTCCTCCATCTATGTTTTTTCAAATAAAGAAACAAAAACATAATTCAAGTAAGCAGATGGCTCCATCAGCTAAAAACAAAAGTATAACCATATTTTTTAGAGCAATGCAAATAAAGTTATACCTCTCCATAAAATAACTCACTCTGAATGGTCATTTGCATATTCCAGAAGGCCTCACTGACTCTCCACGTTCCACCTTCCGTGTTCTAACTTCCATGTCCATGTTCCGTTCTCCACAGCTTAAGAACACTCGCGGGTCAGGTAGTTAGCAGCCTTGGAACTGCACACAGGTTTTTTGCAGTGGCCGAACATTGAGAAAAGGCCACAATGACTCTGTGGCCCTAAAAGGACTCGAGGTAAGTGGGGAATCCAGACAGACGTCTGCATTAACTGGTGTTGGTGGTTTACTGGACTTGTCAGGTGGAGAAGTGGGTACCTGGAGATAAACCTCTGATTCACGCTGTTGGGACCTTTTTCTTACGGTGTCTTTTGTGTCTGAGCCGTGAAAGGATGAAATAAGACCATTTAACGCAGCCGGTGGCTTTAGTTCACTACAAATGTTCCCTTCTGTTTTTCCTCATGTGTAGATGACGATGAAAGCTCTTGGGACAAAACGTCCTCATCCAAAGGGCGCATCCCAAAGAAGAGGGTCCGACGCCGTCAGAGACTTGACACCGGCGTCAGAGCGCCATTGCTCGCCCGATACGAAAGGCCCGAAAGCTCCGGGCAGCGTGTCAGCGTGACTCGAGCAATGAGGAAAGACCAAGAGGAAAGGAAGCACAATCAGAGGAGGCGAGAAGAGGATTAGCGCTTTGTTTACGCTAATTGTAGCCTCGGCTATTTTGGTGTTCTCCTAGTCCGGTAGTAGTTAAGCGCTATTTGGTGACTCTCTGGTGGGTCTTGTGCTTTCTGTCCTTCGGGTAAAGCTTTGTATATATATATATATATATATATATATATTGTTTGTATATATTAGTATGTATATAATGCACAAAGGTGCAGAAAGACTTAGATAAGTGTGTGTTCCACTTCTTGTTAATGTACAGAGAATTGAAATACACAAACAAGGACACAAGTCAAACCTGAAAACAATAGTTTTATTCATATAGGAATCCATGTGTTTATTAGACGATTTATTGGTTCAACTTTTCATAATCAGAGATTGGGCCAAAATATACTGGTGGGCTATTCGATACATTTGCACTACAAGTTTTCAACAGCAGACGTCATCATAGAGTTTGAGATGCATTGAATGAATGAACCTTTTTACGATACGATTGGCTGGAAAGCTTCACTGCTTCACAAAGCTTCACTGCTTCATAAAGCTTCATCTGGCTTCATCTGGCCGTCACTAGTAAACAGCAGAATGTGCACAGAGGAACTGAAGTCACACAGAAAGAACTACAGAACAGGAGTTTGCTGGACAACACGAGCAGAGCTACTGAGCCACGTTACCACGTAGGAGTATTAACAAGGTGCCACTGGAGAGGTGAACAGCCCGGCTCTAAATACTGCAGGGGTGGATCATGGAATGTGGATCAGCTGTGTAGGAATGGAGCAGGATGAACGGCCACGCCTCCTCACCTGCTGCCTCTAGACACGCCCCTTTTCTCTTCTGGTTGATGCTTCTAGAAGACAAAGAGTCACAAGGTCAGTTGGTAGTTTAACTGTTATCCTGCATCAGAATTAGGTCACATTACAATATTCTCTTGGCGTTTTGAGAGGGAGAACCAATCCAGCCCAGTCTGCTCATTGCTGAATGCTCACTTCCTATAGTTTGAATTCCTCCACTATTGCTGTAGACGGTAAAGTGTATTTCCCTCGTTGTTTTTCCTTATACTCCGTGTGATGCTCGGTATCTGACAGTAAAACCCTTGAGGACCTCGAGATGTCAAAGGCACCTCTGCTTGACTTGACTTTCATTGCCTCTCACCTCAAAGAATAAAGTTTGGATGAGGAGGATCAGGTGAACATGCATTGTGGTTGAAGTAATACTTCAAATCCAGTAAAAGCACATGCACTTCCTGGTGTGGACTTCCTGTTTCCTGCCGTTGAAAGGAAGTCCTTCCTTTTTAATTGTAATGTTCGTATTCTCCACTGAACCGTTATATTCCACATTATCATGCGAGAGCATTGCAGTTGTGTGTAGGAGCACATTTCACATGTGTGTGTGTGAGAGGGTATTTTTACTAATGTCCCCCACGGCCCCTCATACGTTCCTCTCTGGTTTTAAACACTGGAGAGTGACGCCGGGTGCGAAAAGTGGTCGGTGGAAGCTTCCTTTGTCCGGACGGCAGGTTCTGGTGGTCGGTGGCAGGTTCCCTTTTCAGAGCGGCAGGTTAAATGGTAAATGGTAAATGGACTGTACTTGTATAGCGCTTTTCTAGTCTTCTGACCACTCAAAGCGCTTTAACACTACACAACATCATTCACCCATTCACACCCATTTATACACTGATGACAGGAGAACCATACACAGTGACACCTGCCATCATTAACTAACATTCACACACTGTAGTCACAGCTACAGGAGCAATGTTGGGTTAAGTGTCTTGCCCAAGGACACATCGACATGCGGGTTAGCCGGGCCTGGGATCGAACCGACAACCCTCTGATTGGAGGACGA